CCTTAGCCTACCTTAATGATGCTATGAACATTTAATTAGCCTGAAGTTAGGCAAAATCTAACGAAATGCCTATTTTATAATAAAGTATTGAATATCTCATGTAACTTCGAATACTCTATCGAAAGTGAAAATTAGAATGGTTATCTGCGTATACTTCTGTATCACTGTAAAGTTGAAAAAATCTTAAGTTGGATCATCATAAATCAGGGACCACCTGTACTGCAATGCAACTGAGAGTTGGGTGTGGTGGCCCACATCTGTAATCTCAGTACCCAGAAGGCTGAGGCTGGAGGATCATGATAACTGGTTTCAGGCCAGCCTAGACTATGCAGTGAGACCCTGTTTCAAAAAATTCAATATAAATAGAAATGTCAGCCTGCCCATCCTGCCACATGGCTCTCCAGGTCTCAGACCCTACACCACCCTCACTGATCCCCCAGGTCCTGCCTCCTCCAGGCTGACTCTGAGCGCCTCCTGCAGCTATGGATCAGTGCTGTGCAGAGCAGCATCGCCTCAGCCTTCAGCCAGGCTCGCCTTGATGACAGCCCCCGGGGGCTAGGCCAGGTGTGTGGGTGCAGTGATAAGCTGCCCTAGGAGATGGGGTACCCCTTACCTGAAGCCCCCTGGTCATCCTTTCTTCCCATCTCCCTCAGGGCTCAGGACACCCAGCTCTTGGCTCTGCTGCTACCTTGGGCTCTGGTGGGACAGCCAGGGGAAGAGAGCCTGGAGGAGTTGGACACGTGGCAGCCCAGGTGCAAAGTGTGGATGGCAATGCCCAGTGCTGTGACTGCCGGGAGCCAGCTCCAGAGTGGGCCAGCATTAACCTTGGTGTCACCCTCTGCATTCAGTGCTCTGGCATCCACAGGTCATTCCCCAAAGCTCCAACCATAAGCCCTGCTAGGGGGGTTCCAGCTGTGGTGCAACCCCCTAGACATCACACAGGCACCTCTCCTCTGCCCTGTCCTGGCTTCCTCCTACATTATAGCTCTGTCACTGATAATACAGTGTCTTGGTCTGGTCGAGTGACTTCTAGAGGAATTTATTGGCTTGGTTGGAAGAAGCCAGGGTCAGGGCTGGTGAGGGAGGAGGAGCCAACAAGGATTAGAAAAAGCAAGTCTGTAAGGCCTTAGTCTGGTGGGAGGAGGGAAGGCGGCATAGGAAGTATTGTCCAGGCCAAAGTGCCATAAGAGAAGGGAGGTTAGCTAGAGAGAAAGAGGGTCTTAAAATGAAGTATAGGGAAGAAGGTAGATGGAATGGTGAGCAGTCAGGATCCTGCCAACACTGGGTCAAGGCTACATGGCCTCTGCTGCCCTGCCTCCAGGCCCAGCTCTTCTACATGGCGGCCATGTAGGCCTTGCCTCCTAGTCTTTTCAGGAGTGGCAGCAGCATCCCCAGGTTACACTCACCGAAGGCATGACTTCCCCTCTGGCCTTCCAGGAGCCTTGGTGTTCATTTCTCCAAAGTTCGGTCTCTGACCCTCGACTCCTGGGAGCCCGAACTAGTGAAGGTAACTTGAAGTATTGTGAAGACAAAGGACTGAGGAGCCCTGAGGGCCCAGATACTCACTCTGTACCCTACCTGTCTCTTTCTACCTCTGCCTTGGCTTCCTGAAGCTTATGTGTGAGCTGGGAAATGTTGTCATCAACCAGATCTATGAGGCCCGTGTAGAGGCCATGGCAGTGAAGAAGCCAGGGCCCAACTGCTCTCGGTGAGGTCTGGGTGGATGTGCCTGGGGCTCCTTTTTATGGGGAGGGACCTAAATGGGAAGAAGGAAGACTGTTCCCTTTCTTTCCCCATAGGCAGGAGAAGGAGGCCTGGATTCATGCCAAATATGTAGAGAAGAAGTTCCTGACCAAGCTCCCTGAGATTCGAGGGCGAAGAGGTGGCAGGGGGCCCCCAAGGGTGCAACCTCCTGTGCCCCCAAAGCCTTCCATCAGGCCCCAGCCAGGGGGTGTCAGATCAAAGCCAGGTATAGAGTTGTTTGAGCATGTACTGAGTATCTGCTGTGTGCTAGCACTGTGCCAGGCCCTGTAGAGAGACAGAGTATGAGGCCCAGGACTTCCCCTTGAGAATGTTGGAAGGACCAGACTACAGTTTCAGGGGCTTACAATGGGGCTTGGCGCTAAGCACAGGAAGGAGCCTGGCACAGGGAGTGGGCGGGAGGTCTACATAAGGGATGTCTACAGCATGAGAGGAAACAGGAGTTTGGAATCTCCAAAGGCCTGGGAAGAAGGGTGTGAATTTGACCAGCGCATAGGGAGGTGAGAGCTGAGGCTGTCAGGGAGGCAGCTCATCTGTCATCCAGCAGTCAGGGTGGTTGGACAGGATGAGGAATCATGCTGTTTATCTGCCACCCAGGAGCCCCACAATATACCTACTCACTCATACAGGTAACCACACCCACATCACTCCATCCCTCACCACAGTCCTAAGTCATGAAGGTCTCCCCACAATTTTGAGCCACCTATCCCATTTCAGCATTAGGGAATTGTGCTGACTGAGACGCAGCACGTACTCTCCCTAACAAAGTGAAATCCCCCAAACAGAGCCTTCCTCCGATGACCTGGGAAGCCTGCACCCTGGGGCGTTGCTGTTCCGAGCCGCTGGGCATCCTCCATCCCTTCCCACCATGGCTGATGCCCTTGCTCATGGAGCTGATGTCAACTGGGTCAATGGGGGTCAGGAGAATGCCACACCACTGATCCGGGCCACAGCTGCTGTGAGAGCCATGCTGACCTTCCTACCCCACCCTAAGGCTCCCTCCTATGTGATGACTCCTGACTCTCCCTGGGGTCCCCACTCCATAGGAAGAGATAAGCAATACATACTGGTTGCTAAAAGTATGTGATTTGAAGGCAGAGACCTGAGTTTGAATCCAAACTCTTATCACTTACAGGAGACTGAACAATTTATCAATCTGTTTCTGCCTCAGTCTCCTCATCTGTAAAGTAGGGATAGCATACCTGATGACTCAGTCTAGGTCAGGTCTGATAACATCAAACTATGAATATGTGAACCCATGTGTAGAGATACAGCCAAGTCTAATTGCTGTACCCCACACTTACACCTTCTTGTTCACCCCACCCTAAAACATCTTGAAATTCACCTCTAAAGATGCCACCCCTTCTTGACTTCAAGCAGAATTCTCTTCTGGCCTGCGAGTTTCTCCTCCAGAACGGGGCAAATGTGAACCAAGCAGACAGTGCAGGCCGAGGACCCCTCCACCATGCAACCATTCTTGGCCACACTGGGTAGGGACAGTGGGGTTAATGGCCATGGGAAGGAAGGCTCTGCGGGAAGGGGTGCAGCTGAACTTGGCTATCCTTTACAGGCTTGCCTGCCTATTTCTGAAACGGGGTGCGGATCTGAGGGCTCAGGACTCTGAAGGCAGGGACCCTCTGACCATCGCTATGGAAACAGCCAATGCTGACATCGTTACCCTGTGAGAAGGCCTGAAGGCTGAGGGGAAACTCTTAAATTATACCTTGGGGCAGGGCTAACCCCAAGACCCACAGGGGGAAGGGGAGAGAGGAAGGTAAGCAGGGTTTGGGTGGGGAGGGGCCTGCTGGTTGAGAAAGAAGGCTCCCAGTGGGGATGGGGGCTGCTGTGAAGTAAGAAGGTGGGGCAGCAGGGTCAGAGGAAAGGAGATCATCCTGAGAGCCATCATTCAGGTGCTGACATTGCTAACAGGCATCTTTTAAGAACTAGCACTGGGGAGAACAGATGAATGAAACACAACCAAGGGAGACTGAGGAGAATGGCATTTATTCCTTAATTCCCACCCTTTCAGGCTGCGATTGGCGAAGATGAGAGAGGCGGAAGCGGCCCAGGGCCAGGCAGGTAAAGTATTCGCCTATATCCTGACCCCCGGCCCAACCGGAATCCTGGGCTTCTGGTCCTTCCTTACCTGTTCCCCTGTCCGGGTTGCGTTAATGCCACTGTTTATTCAACAAATATGTTTTGGGTCCATCCGACACACCAGGCCCTCGGAACGCAGCCAAGAGTAGACGCCGGAGCTGTGCCCCCAGCGCACAAATTCCCCTCCACCCACGCTTCAAGTGCTAGCCCTTCTAGCCCCACCCTCACTGCCGTATTTTGTCGTTCCGAGCTAGGGCCGAGCAGTCCCGCGTGCCCCAGCCTGATCTCCTTTCCCTTCAGGAGATGAGACGTATCTCGACATTTTCCGTGACTTCTCCCTCATGGCGTCAGACGACCCCGAGAAGCTGAGCCGTCGTAGTCACGACCTCCACACGCTTTGATCCCAGGCCTTTCCCCGTCCCCCATCCCCACCCCGCAACTCCGGACCCTACACTCCCCACCGCCGGCCCTTTTGCCATTAAAGCCTCTGTGCTTTGCTTTTCCTTTCGGAATTTATTTATTGGGCGCCACCATCGGCGGGGAGTTGGGCGCTGTGGCTCCCGGAGTTTGCGAGCTCGGGTCACGCAGGAGACAACTCCCGGGGGAGTGCAGTGTCAGCTTGGGCCGCAGCCCTACTTAACCAGGCGGCTGGGGGGCAGGGCTGTCGTGCTCCGGCGATTTGGCCAGACCAGTCCCGCCCGAGGGAGGCCGCTGACATGGGGTGGGGACCGACCTTCCCTTAGGGAAATTGCATTGGGCCAGGATGGAGAGCTCCGCTTCGGCCACCTCCGCCGGGAGGCATCCTTGGAATGCGGTGGCTCAGCACCCGCCCCCTTGGGAATTCCCCACCAGAGCCACAGGGAGGGAAATGGTCCCTTAGCCTAGGACGGTGGGAACTAGGTTTTCTCAAGAGTGGCGGGCTCGGAGACCACCGCCCCGCCACGGTTGCAGACGTGAGATCGAGCACACCTGGAGGACCAAGGGGCCGTCGAGGCTACATCCGGGGCGACGCTCATGAGTCACCCCACCCTCGCTCACGTCGGCCCGTCCAGCCCGTCCACCCTGTCTCTCGACTCCCACCTCCAAGGGAGCTGAACAAGCCCTGCGGGGGCGGGGGGCGGGGCGCCAAGGGGCGGGGCTGGCTCTTAAAGGGCCCCTGGCCGCTGCCCTTAGGCCACTTCCTGGGGGTGGAGAGGACCTCAGCGGCTGTGGCGACAACCAGCGAAGGCGTCGGCGCCCAAATCCCGAGACTCCTGGCTGCTTCCATCACAGACCCCGGAACCTCCCAGCTGGACAGAGCGTGCATCTTCGGTTCCCAGCAGATACCAGGAGGTTCTCCATCCTCTCTGATCAGCTGCGCCTCCATCTCCTGGGGCCCGTACCCGGAGCCTGGCCCAGCCTCTGACTGGTCTCCGAATCCCTGCGTGGACTCGCCTACAGCGACAGCGATCTGCTCAGAAACTCGGAAGGTGATTCTTCAGAGTCTGCCCTGTGCTCGCCACCGTCACCTGCTGGTTGGATTTCGGAAACCCGCTGGCTGAAGACCACAGAAGGGAATCGCTGACCACGCAGAATCAGATACGTCTGGACCCTTCTCTCTGGCTGCCTTGTGCTTTTTTCATTTGTTGTCTCATCCTTTCGAGGACTTCTGTGCCCCGAAGACCACAACCACCATCAAAGTAGCTGGGGTGAGCTACAAACCTTGCTGTTTCGTACTCCACCCTGTGCCTCCAACCCAGAGAGTCTGAACGTTACTACCCAATTCTGCACCCAGGAAGTTCTACCTTTCCTTCTCTCTCTGTCTTGTGTACCTCCCAAAATTTCCCCTCCCCCTGTGTCCTCTTCGCCCCCTTCCTTTGGGGGCCCCGTGACCCTGAATGTGGGGGGCACGCTATATTCCACTACGTTGGAGACCTTGACCCGCTTCCCAGACTCCATGCTGGGGGCCATGTTTAGGCCAGGCACGCCCATGCCTCCCAATCTTAACCCCCAAGGAAGCGGCCACTACTTCATCGACAGGGATGGCAAAGCCTTCCGGCACATCCTCAATTTCCTGAGGCTAGGCCGACTGGATCTGCCCCGTGGGTATGGAGAGACAGCACTTCTCAGGGCAGAGGCTGACTTCTACCAGATCCGGCCTCTCTTGGATGCCTTGCGGGAACTGGAGGCCTCTCGGGGAACCCCTGTACCCACAGCTGCCCTGCTCCATGCAGATATAGATGTTAGCCCCCGTCTGGTGCACTTCTCTGCTCGCAGGGGCCCACACCACTATGAGCTGAGTTCCGTCCAGGTAGACACCTTCCGAGCTAACCTCTTCTGCACTGACTCTGAGTGTCTGAGTGCCATGATGGCTCGGTTTGGTGTGGCTAATGGGGACAGGGCAGAGGGAGGCCCACATTTTCGTCTAGAGTGGGCCCCTCGCCCCTCAGAACTCCCAGAGGTGGAGTATGGAAGACTGGGGCTGCAGCCACTGTGGACTGGGGGTCCAGGAGAGCAGCGGGAGGTGGTCAGCACACCCAGCTTCCTGGAGGAAGTCCTGCGGGTAGCTCTGGAGCATGGCTTCCGCCTTGATTCTGTTTTCCCTGACCCTGAAGACCTGCTCAACTCAAGATCTCTACGCTTTGTCCGGCACTGATTTCAGTTTGATCGTGGGAAAGAAAGGGAATCAAGGAGCCAAAAGAACTAACTATGAAGCTATGAAAGTCAGGGGTCCCACTGCACCTGACTGGAGTAGAGATGTGGGCTGGAATTCCCAAACTTAGCCCATGAAGACTCACAAGCAGACCAGATGGTCTGGACTGGTGCTCATCCTTGGAGGGCAGTGACGGTTCTCTGGCTTGTTGGTGGCTGAGGCTGGGGCTCTCCAGTGTCTCCTTGGTTGAAGCTCAGTATTCAGGGGTCTGAAAAAGTGATGAACACCTCTTTGTCCAGGCTAAACCTAGCAGAACTCTTGAGGGACACTGAGTTCTAGGGAAAGGGGATACTTCTGATTGCCCTAATATGGTCTCCTTAACTATGGCTTCCCCTCCTGGAACTGTGTGGCTTGGCCTGACCAATGAGAGGCCAGAACACTCTGGAACATGGAAAGGTAGGGTTCTTCGCTATGTTCCAAGTCACTGTTTCCTAGGAAACAGAAAAGCCACTTACCCTAGGCTGACATAGGGAGTTAAGAAAATTCCCATTAGCAAGGGCCTGGAGCACCCCTCTGGAACTCCAAGTGTTTTAAAGGATCTGATAGTGTAGGGGCTGGCCATGGAGAAGGTGATCCTGGCCTTCTTTCATGTGTATGTGCATGTCACGTCAGCCAGTGTATCTGACTAATGCATGGGTCCCTGGCATCCTGGCTCCCATCTGTATTGCTGACCACGGTGTCTACACGATGATCCTTCTGTGGTTTCTGCATGTCCAGGCCTGTTTACGGTTGCCCAGCAACTGTTCTGGCATAGGTGTATCTGTGGTATGTGTGTGAATAGTTTGAGGTTTAGTTTAATCACAGGATGTGTGTGTGTGTGTGTGTGTGTGTGTACATTTATGTGCCCACGTCACCACATAAACAGGAGGGGCCTGTTTGGGTTTGAGTCACTAGGATCTTCCTATGAGAGGTAAAAGAAGTCACTGGGCTTAGCTGTGCCTCTGAGACTTATAGGAAACCCTTGGTTACTGAGGCCACTATGGGCCTGGTGCTAGGATACAGTCAGAGAAGGACCAGGGTTTCCCTGGGCAGACAGAAGAGATGAAGAGTTGATATAGTAGGTGAGGATATGGGAAAAAATGGGACTTCGTGGTCTCTGAGTGGATGGGATATACATGCATAACTTCTTCACTGTCACTCATTATTTATCACTGATGACTTACAAGAAGAAAAATAAAATTTCTCTTGGAACCACAGACTTGTAAAGATCACTGTCCCCCTTGCAAAGAAACCCTGCTTTCTCTGTTCCTCTGCTACTAGACAAGTCTTCTTCTGGTCCCAAGTTCCTGGGGCCCCAGCTTTACCCCAGCCAAGGATGGAGCAGTGGCATTGTTATGGAACACTCTAGAACTTCCCAGGCAGAGGACTGGAACCAAAAATCACAGTGCATTCTGAGGCTTTCCTAGCCCAGGTGGGGCCAGCTCCCACCCCATCCCCCAGCAAGCCTCATGTGGGTACTGGCTCTAGGTGGGCTTTCCCTGGCAGTTGCCCAGGCCTGTATTTTTTGTCGCCTTCCAGCCCATGACTTGCCTGGTCGCCTAGCTCGACTTAGCAGCCAGATGGAGGCCCAGTGGAAGGAATGGACTTCCCCAGATTTCTCAGCATTTGCCTTAGGTAAGAACAGATATCCAGAGTCAGACCCAGCAATAGTCACCTCATGCCCCAAGGCAAGTCACTATGTGACTGACTTTCTAGCTGTGCCCCCTCAGCTATTGCCTCAGTCCACAGCCCTCTTTGGACGCACTGGACTCTTCCTCTGGGAGAACTCTGGATCCCAGGAAAGCAGAAGAGACCCCAGAACTTCCTTCTGGGCTGGGTAGAGAATCACTGCTCCTTGCCCATTTCCACAGATGAGGTGACCATGAACAAAGTAACAGAGAAGACTCACAGAGTCCTAAGGGTCATGGGTGAGGTCAAAGGGAAGATGAAACGTTGGTGCTTGGGAGGATACCAAGGCTGGAGATGGGAGGCTGGACAGGGTAGAGGGCAGTGGTAACTGGAGGGCTGATCAAGGAGGGGGCCGGGGTTCGGGGATGGGGCTGCACTGGTACTGCTGAGGCCCAGGGCAATACAACTGTGCTCTGCCTCCCTAGAAATCAAAGGGTCTTTCTCCTCACTCCTTCTGTTTTGGCAATGGCTCCAGAAGACCAAGATCCCCCAGTACACCAGGGAAGGTACTGATGGGGAAGGACACCAAGGGGTGCCTAGTGTTTGGGACAAAGTGGTGTGTGGCTGAGAGACTTATCCACCACCATCATTTCCTTGTCTTTCATTTCAGCTCTTTGTGCTCCAGCCTGCCGTGAGTAGAAAAACAAAAGGGTGGAAGGAGAGCAGGGCTGCTGAGGAAGGAAGCTGGGTAGCTAGAAGGATGGAAAGCCTGGGCTTCCCCTTACAGCTCTGTTCTGATGTCTCCTGCAGGGGGCAGCACCATCCTGTACAACTGCTCCACTTGTCTGGGCACTGAGATGTCCTGTTGGCCCAGAAAGCGTTGCCTCCCAGGTCCTTACTCCCCACCTCAGCCCAGTCCCATCCAGATCCCCAAGTCCTCAGTCTCCCCTTGTGTCAGCAACTGTGGTCCCCAGGATTATCCACTGCCCCCTGGGTTCCCTGCAGGAAGTCACGACCTGTGGGAAACTAGGATTCTGCTCTTATCCATCTTTGGAGCTGTCCTGCTTCTGGGTGTTCTGAGCCTACAGGTGGAGTAAGTCATGGGTCCGCAGAGGGGAAACCGCCTCTCTGCCTACTGTCCCTCCCCGTACCTTTCCATCCTCCCTCTTTCCTCCCAGTCCTTTCCTGACTCTCCTGTCCTCCCTCAGATCTCGCCACCTCCAAGCAAAAGGTGACTTATGAAGATACTGACAATCTCCCCCCTCCCACCCCGTCTGTAAAGAGTGTGTACCCCACAACTTCCACAGTCCTTGGGGAAGGGGAGACAAGCAACCTCTTCGTTGCATCCCCAAAGACTCAATCTTCCAGACCCTAAAATCCAGACATTACTGCGATCAATCCCAGAGTCAGATGGCCTCCAGGAACCCAGACACCCACAACTGGAAAGTTCCTCCCCTTCAGTCCTCCACCAATCAGATAGGGCTAGGATGATGCCAGGAAATTATCTACAGAAGGAAAGAATCCCCTCCACACACCACCCCCACTCCCACACCCCCTTCTGGGAAGCTGCTCTGGGTCCTCCTATGACTGATTGGGAATCCAGGAATGAGGGTTCTGGAAAACACCCTCCCTCAGAGTGAGACTACATCCGTCAGCCTGCTGGCACACTGTCCTCCACTATGTTAACATTGTGTAGCCCTGGCCTCCCCTTTTGCTGTGCCCAACTAAACTTGCTGTATGATATTCTCCATCCTTGCCTGGCCTCTGTCTGTAACTAGAGAGAGCAGAACCAACCAGACATTCTCAATGTGTCACAAGGACTCTTAACAGGTGTGGGGGGTTGGCACCCCCATAAACATTTGGCAATGTCTGGAGACTTTTATTTTTTTGATTACTGGTATCTAGTAGTAGAGACCAGAGATGCTGCTAAACACCCACAATGCACAGGAGAAACCCACAACAAAGAACTATCCTGGCCAAATGTCAATAGTTCATGGTTGAGGAACCCTGGTACTGGTCCTCTGTAATGAGGAGTTTTGGGTTGGTTGGTTGGGAGATGGAACATGAAAAGAGAGGCCTGTCTCCAAGTCCCAGTCACCAAATCCCAGTACAAGCACCTAGGCCCAGAAGGAAACCCAGCCCTCATCTAGCCTAGTGGTTTTCAACTGGCTACCTGGAGGCTCCCAGGCAAGTTTTCTCAGACAGCTGCCCATTGACGCCATCATCTGTACAGACCCAAAACTACTCCTGCTTCAGAGTCTGAATTAAGTAGTCCCAGATGGGGCCTCCATTGGTGTAACCTATAGGCAGGGTTATTACCAGGTTCCCATATAGGCCCTGGGGATGGGGAGATGACCTCCTACCCCTTCCAGAAGAGGACATCCCTTTTTGTTTTACACATTCTAGTTCAATACTTTCATTTTATACATGAAAATATGAGATCCAGAGGTTGCACAGGATCATACAACTCATTTGCAAATGATGAATGGCTATGGTGCCAGGCAGTATCACTGTCTGATCCCCAGGCAGCACAACTCTCCCTTGGACAGCAGCAGTTGCCTTGGACATTCCCATGCAGTTCCCTTGCTAGGCTCAGCATTTTAGAATTACTCTTGTTTCCAAAACCCAACATTCAGTAGATGAGCAGTCTTGCCCATTCTTCAAGTACCTCTGACCTGTCTGTCACCTTCTTTTCCCCATGATCCCCAGCACACCCACAGCCCTCTCACAGTGGGCCGTCTGACTCTTCATACTCCCCTTGAATTCATGTCACCTTCAGCAGTCACGCTGGTCCTCTTAAAACTTCATACTGCTCTCAACTTCCTGTCTAGCATCATTACACGATTGTTAAGAATGTGGACCAGGCATAACAGCTCATGCCTGTAGTGCCAGCTACTTAGGAGTGGAGATTAAGAGAATCTGGGGCAAAAAGTTAGTGAGACCCAACCTCAATCAATAAACTGGGTTGGTAGTCCATGCCTATGCCCCTAGCTTCACAGGAGACCACCGGCCCTGCGCAAAAATGTGAGAAAGAACTTGACTTTGGAGTTGGATTGCCTGATTTCAAATCCTGACTATCTCTTCCTGGACCTTGGGGCAGTTTATTTAATCTCTTCATGCCTGTTCCCACAGGTATGCTAGGCAAGTGCTCTGCCAGCTCCTTCTCATCTTTTAAATGCAGATAACATTTTTTTTTCCGATACTTCAAGGAAGTTTTTTTTTTTTTTTTATTCATATGTGCATACGATGTTTGGGTCATTTCTCCCCCCTTCCTCCACCCCCTCTCTTATGCCCCTCCCCCACCCCCTCCCTCTCCCCCTTTACCCCCTTGATACCAGGCAGAAACTATTTTGCCCTTATCTCTAACTTTGTTGGAGAGAGAGTATCATATTTTCTGATTCTTTTTTTTTTCTGCAATACTGGGGTTTGAACTCAGGGTCTGCACCTTGAACCACTCCACCAGACCTTATATTGTGATGGATGGGATTTTTCAAGATAGGGTCTCTCGAACTATTTGCCCAGGCTGTCTTTGAACTACGATCCTCCTGATCTCTGCCCCCTGAATAGCTAGGATTATAGGTGTGAGCCACCAGCACCCGGCTATATTTTCTGATTCTATAATTTTTTTTACATTTTGACATCTGAAGGCAGAATGTATCTTAAGTAGGCCATTGCCTGGCATGGGTGGCTCATGACTGTAATCCTAGCTACTCAGGAAGTAGAGATCAGGAGGATCATGGTTTGAAGCCAGCCTGGGGCAAATACTTCATGAGACTCTATCTGGAAAAAACCCATCACAAAAAAAGGGCTGGTGGAGTGGCTCAAGTGGCAAAGTGCTGGAGGACCTAAGTTCAAATCCCATTACCACAAAAAAAATTTTTTTTAAGTAGGCCATGCCTTAATTAATAGCATTTTTTCCTTAGCAATACACAAATAATGATATGGATTACAATTGATGATAGCTTAAATTCAATGAAATGCAATAGTGCTTACCTTATTAGGATTATTCTAATGTAAAAATAGATCCATATAAAATGCTTGAGACAGCTGGACATGGTGACACATGCTTGTAGTCTCAGCACCTGGGAGGCTGAGATAGGAAGATCCCACGTCTGAGGTCAGCCTGGGTTACATAGAGAGATCCTGTCTCAAAAAAAAAATTTTTTTTTAAATGCTCAGAACATGAACTGGTGGAGTGGCTCAAGTGCTATGGTGCTCACCTAGCGAGAGTGAGGCCCTGAGTTCAAACCCCAGTACTGCCTCCCCACCAAAAAAGTTTGGAACTGCATGGAATAGTGGGTGCTCACTAAGTGTCAGCCACTATGATATTTTGCTTAAAGGCCTCCTCTTGCCTGCAGAACACAGACCTGGCCTACTTACCCTGAATTTCAAGGCTCTCCATCAGCAGCTCCCATTTGTCCCATCTGCTACACAGACCAAAGCTGTCCAAACATGGAACTAACTTAAATTTCCACATGCATACCCATGAGTTTTTCAGACTCCACATGTCCAAACATACCTCCCTCCCTGAGAGAGCCCCATGGCCCCCTTGTGAGTGCACTCAAGTTCAATGGCAGCACCAACTCCTGTCATCCACACCCCCATCCTTTCTTGCATGCCCATAACCCCACTGGTCACCAGTAAGCAAGCAGTCTAACTTTTGTACTACTTTTGGAACGAGGCTCCCATGTACGCCTAGAGCCTTATCTCTCAGCAAGGCCCACCGCGTCCCATCCCCCACAGCCACACTGAATCACTTGTACTTGCTCAAACACTTTGTTTCTCTCTGTGGCTTGTCCCTCCACCTGGGATGACCTTCTGATATGGCTCAGACATTCTGTCCTCTGGGCTTAAAAAAGATTCTCCAGGCTTCTCTCAGTGTGCTTGTATGAAGGTGGTGGTGTTTCTTTAGCTACTTCCCTCTAGGCTATGCTCTGTGCTATGAAGCCACTACCTAAGGGTTTGAGATCTTTGTTTCTACCATGCCTGGTACTTGCTAGGCAAACACTCCACCCTGGACTACACCGCCAGTTCTTGTGTAACACAGTTCTTTTCTGAGCACGTAAGGCCAGCCTGTTGGAACATGGACTGCCAGGACAGGGGTAGCTTCTTTGAGCCATTCACCAAACAGCTGCAGTCATTGTGGTAGTTTAAAAAAAAAGGCCCTCAAATTCGTTGACATGTCTCCCATGGAGATCCAAATCTTCCCTTCAATTTGGACTCTCTGACAGGCTGACCAATAGAACATTGCAAAAGTGATACTCTTCCTCTTTCTGGGTCCAAGCCTTAAGGAGGTGGTACCTTCCACTCTCTCCCTTTTGGTACACTCTGGAAACCATTCATCATCTATTTTTTTTTTATTCATATGTGCATACAATGTTTGGGTCATTTCTCCCCCCTTCCCTCACCCCCTTCCTAAACCATTCACCATCTATAAGGCACAGGACATAGCTTCATGGAGAGTCAACATGAAAGGGTCCTAGCCAGAGGCCAGCACCTACTGCCAGACACATGAGGAATGATACAGGCCCCAGTTGTCAGATCATCCCCAGACTTTCAATTTTCCAATGAACACCCCAGATATCATCCACCATCCTGTTGGAATTCCAGACTTGCCAACTACTGAGGCAACTCCTGAAGTGATCATTTTATGCTGCTAGTTTAACTCCTTTACAGTAGATAACTGGAACAGTGAGGCAGAAAAAGGAGCCTATAACCTGGCATCAAATGTCCTGGCAGAGTGGCTCAAGTGGTAGAGCACCTGCTTAGTAGCCATGAGGTCCTAAATCCAAACCCCAGGACCACCAAAAAAAAAATTCTTGCCTGGTGTTTGGTGATTCACACCTATAATCTTAGCTACTCAGGAGGCAGAGATCAGGAGGATCTAGGTTCAAAGCCAGCCTGGGCAAATAGTTCATGAGACCCTATCTCGAAAAATCCTCCACAGAAATAGGGCTGGTGGAGTGGCTCAAGGCGAAGGCCTGAGTTCAAGCCCCAGTAACACCAAAAAAAAAAAAAAAAAAAAAGTCTTGGGTTCATGACATGAAAGTCCCATTGTGTCTGTACCAGGAACATCACTTTACCAGGTGAGTTTCATCCTCTTACTTGTAAAATGGAGTTGCTTGTACAGAGACAATCATGTCACACAGCTTTCAAAACATTTCACACACTATATTATCTGTAGTTGTGTAACAAATTGTTCTAAAACTCAGACTGGTGGAGTGGCTGAAG